TTTGTACTTTTACATCAACAACTGTCATATAATTCAGTAAGCAAAAATGTATTACGGTTCAGATGCTCTAGTGTTAGTTTAGATACGAAAGCCTGCACGTCATTTGCAATGCATTCTTTCATCTTCAGACATCCAGTAGGAAGGTTTTACATTGCCAACTCTAATACGGCACATTTGCATGTCTGAATTCACAGATGACTAGATTTTTGAACGGCGGGCTGCCGAGGTCGTGTTTGACAGCAGCCAAATTTATCAGAGCAATCTGACTTTTAAATGTGTGTGTCACCAATACGATGAATTGTAAGGGAAACACTGATGGGGCGAATTGAATAAAAGTGAGCGAGCTATAAGAACGGAGGGGAAGTATGTAGAGAAGTGATTTACGGCTCCATTATTATAGCACAGGGATGGGATTGGACCCACCATGACAGCAGTGTAGATTGTGTTTTTTTCTTTTTTTTTCTTTCCCTACATATGTTGAGCTCGCTGGACCGAGACTGGATCTTCTCGAGTTACATGCACTGCTAGGAAGACTGCTGTTCCTCCAGCTGTTCTTTCTCAGTACTCTTCTTGCGCTACACATGTTGTTGGATATAAGGGACAATGAGGTGCCTCAAACAAGTCTGAGGCTTGTCACAAAATCAGGCTGTTTATCAATCCTCATGCAATGTGTTTTCAGCAAGCTGTGTTGAATCCACATTGGTTTATGTGCGAGGGTTGAGGATTTAGGCTTACACTAAAACAAATATCTGTTTATGCTTGCCATTTACACAAACACATAGGGGATTCCCTCGGAGGAAGCGCGGGCCGATGCTGTACTTTGGCTTGTGGTTGGCTATAAATTTCCATAACCACAAGCACATTATTCAGGGGTCCCAACTTGTTTACATTTTTCAGATCTTTCCAGTGATTTGAGAATATTGGTTAGGATAACAAAACAAAACAAAACAAAACAAAACAAAAGACTTTTGACCAATTCATGAATGAATCATTTAGAATGAGGATGAGTCAGTTTGACAGATTCATTCAAGAGTTACACCCAAAAATTAAAATTATGTCATCATTTACTTAATGTTGATAACCAAATTATTAATTAAGTTGAACTGAAACAGTTTAATTGTCAACATCCTTTGAAAAATGTTCTTTTGTGTTCTACAGAAGAGAGAAAGTCATACAGGTTTGAACGACATGACCATTTTCATTTTTGGGTGAACTATCCCTTTAAAATTAACGGACTCAAAAAGAACAGTACAAATCAGACTATAACTCGCAAGAAAGTTTTACTCTACAGAAGAGCAATATTTAGCCTATTAAATGTTTTAGGTCAGAGCATAATTAGAAAAAAATTACTTTTCCAGGCCTGGAAAACACAATTATACCATGGGAACCCTGATTCTTGACCCACCGAGTGAACAAAATCATGTTTGTGTTTGGGTTCAGCATGCACTCTAAGCTCAGTTAAGGAAGTGTATTGCCGTGATCGATTTCTGCCGGGTGGCTGTGAGATACCAAAGGAAAGCCCTCTAAGCATGGAGGAATTGTTACGGAGAGGAAACGTGAGCGAGGGTGACAGGCAGAGGTGGAGTGCGCAATATTAAAGGCCAGGGCTGTGAAGGCAAAGGTAGTCTTTATTAGGTTAGAGGCGCTCCGTAAACTTGTTACAGGCCGGTGTGTTAGATCTCATTCCCCCGCAGGGGCATGCTGGGATGGGGGCCCTGGAAAATGTCTCAGGGAATGTATTTTTTCCCCATAACCAGTTTAGTGCCAGCCACCCTCCAAGTGTTCTCCATCACTTAGCTTCACAACAGTTGGGGAACAAACGCATTAGAGAAAAATTGCCTCTGCAGTACATCTGTTCTGGCTGTCTATCGAGGGCCCAGGAAGATCTGCTACCACAAACCGAGAATCTGATATTAACTCTAATGTGTTGCATGCTTTTTTCCCCATTCATAAGCAACCAATGATAAAAACATTATTTTAATAAATGGATGAATAAATAATTAAAATTTACTTTTTTTTTTACAAAAAGTCTTAAAAAATGATTACAGTTAAAAAAAAAAAAAAAAAAAGAATAAATAAAACAAAAATATAGATAAAAATTTATTACATTTAAATATAAAATGTTAAATAAAAGTTGCATTATTTTGATGAATGAATGAATGAATGAAATATGATCAAATTAAGGGCCAGATTTACAAAACAGGGTAAATTAGCGTTAGCACGCAATTCTATAGAAGCGCCGATGGGAGGGGAAAATTCTGCGGTGCAGACTGCTTTAAGAATGCTTTTTTTGGCTGTTAAATAATGGAGCAAATACCAGTATTTTGACGAGTGCAAACGTTAGTTTATCGTGTTGCGTGATTCATCTTAATACTCTTGCCCATAAATTTTGCATCTGAAAGGGAAACTCCAACAAATGCATATGCAATAAGGTCAGGTGCAAAAATAACTGTCCACGCCTTTTTAGCGCTAATTCTTCACTGCACGTCTTTAGGAAATCCTGACAGTACTATTTTAATGCCAAAAGACGGTTTGCGCTGGCACAAGCTGTTAGTAAATCTGGCCCTTAATGTTCAAATTATTTTACATTTTGTAGGTAATAAAGTGGCTTTTCTAAACCTTTGCAGCATAAATCATGCATACAAGTCTTAATTTGATCAGTCCATTTGAGTCTCACCTTCTGCACATCATATGCTTTAAACTCTATATCTACACACTCTCATGATGCTCAAGATCTTTTTCCCACATTAGGATGAAATTTCAATCTGAAAATTAGTTATAACATACTTGGTGTTTTTGTTCTCCCTTTCGTCATCTGGACACTAAGTAGGCCAAGACCACCAGTGGTGCCCCCTCAAAATATTTCCATGAACCAGAATAATGGCTGGGACGATGTTGGCGAGTGACGGCATGGTGCCTTGCATCTAATTGGCAGATTTATTATTATATAGGAGTGCTGAAAGTGTTAACAACCCTTATAGTGGTTACATAACGCCATGCATGAATAGCTTCACAATTACCCTTCCGATATGCTATGCATTACATATGCCGGCTGTATGAAAATGTGTCCTCACCGAGACAGCTTGCTAAACGCCCATTTTGCCTTCCCTTTAACATCTCTGTAAAGCAGAGCATTTAATTGAACAGTGCCTCGACAGAATGCCGTAATATGCGAAGTATGCGAGAAGCTCTGTGGGTCTTGCTGAAAGTGTCAGGGCCACTGTGTTTGTAATACACAGATGTCATCCTATTAATTCGAGGGAGAATAATTATAAGACTATAGAGCACCCAGATGTCACCAGCACCTGTCTTTATGAGCACACATGTATGTGTGTGTCGAATATATTTGAGTGTCACTCTGTTAACACAACAGAGAAGCATGATGCTAGATTAAATGGTGACAGCCCCCGTTTCTGCATTAGCAATTCTAATGTCAGATATGAGGTTGAATTGTGAAGATATTAAAAGCAGCATCAGACGTAAAATTCATAAAACGTCCTGATAGTGTGTTATATTGAACGCTGTTTTTAATAGGGGAGGGATTTGAGCTCTCGCAGCACCATACGTGGCTGTGTCACTCTCTCTTCTATTCTGTTGGTTCAACTGTCATGAATTTCTCGTGGAACGACTGCCAAACCGCTCATGGGAGAAACGTGTGAAAAGCCTGTCGCAATTACTGGCGCATTTGCACTTCGTGCCGGGGCAAGTTTTTGGAACACGCACAACCCGGGCGAAGCCAAGTTTCTGTGGCGACCCACTGACAACATGCAATGTTCCCACACACGCACACATAAACAAAAAAGTTTGGCTTCTTTAAAGCTTATTCACAGTATCGTTTTGATAAAATGACTTGAATGTGAATTAGCTGGGGTTTGCCTCCCTCGCTACTGACATAAACTGTATATCTGTTCACTTAAAGATCCTCATTGCAGCACAAATCCTTTTTAAAATAGCTCCAGAGTCCATTGTTGCACTCTGAAAATGGAGGACAGCAATTTCACCACAGGCTTAGTGCAGCAAGAGATATCAGAAGTAAATTCCAAGAGGAAAATGGTCAGATTAGAACGTGTCCTAAAGGAAAGGAAATGTCATTGAGATCAATGTTATTGACCCATGACTCAGATGGAGTGGTGGAGTGGGTGAAAGAGGTCGGAGAGACTACTCGGTCACTTTGAACTTACCGCGCACATAAAGGATGTAGTCAGCGTACGTTTCGCCCACAGAGTTGGACGCCACACAGCGGTAAGTGCCGTTGTAGGACTTGTTGAGGTTCTCGATGAAGAGATCTGAGCCAGTGATAACCGCGTGAGACGGCACGTCATCATCCACTCTCACCCAGTTCACCTGATGAGGCCTGGATGGAGACACAGAGCAGAATTGGCTTTGCTTTAGAGTTGTGTAGCCAGAATATAGTTTTTTCTCTGGCCAAGGGATCTCTTACTTAGGCAAAGACGTTGTCTGAGTACCATGTAATGTTTTATAGGACAATATATGGCAGGAAAATTCTAAGATGCATATAAACTCGAGCAGTTCCGTCTATTTCTGGAAAATGTTTTACAAGAACGTTTTACAAGAAAGTAGGAACTTAGTCTTGCTAATATCATGATTAATTCAATGTGTTATTTGCTGTTTCTTGGTAATTTTTTTGTGAAATCCACTAGCAATTTCTTAGTAAAAAATAGAATCAAAGTGAAACACCAATTTTTTCAGTATATATATTGATTAAATAAATGAATTAAATAATTAATAATAATAATAATAATGATAATATAATAAAATAAGCTAAAAAACTATTCTGCAATGATGAAAAACTGAAAAAAAAAACAAAATATAGAGAAAATAAAAATAAATTTAAAAAAACTTTATTCTGCAATTACGAACAACTAGGAAAAGCATGGCAACATTTTTTTTTAAATGACAAAATATAGAGAAAATAAACAAATTTAAAAATCCCAAGTATTTATTGATCAAAAGAACCATGCGAGTAATTCCATGGACACAACAGCTTGTATACATGATTTTGAGTTCAGCAAATCAGACTTTTGTTTTTGTGTGTGTGCAATATGTTATCATGTTAATGTGCGCAATTTGTGCTGTCTGAGGCTAAAAACAGCTATGGCCCTAACCTCAGAATAAAATGATCAGTTGCGGTCAGTAACACAGATTGTGGGATTCGACCAATGTCGCAGCCTACGGCATTGGCAAATGAACTTCATTTTGGCGAAGTTACAAAAAGCGAAAGGCTGTGATTTTCTCTTGTCTGCCTCAATTAACTGCCACTGCGAGCTATCTCCTTTTGTTCTCTAAACACCTGAGCCGGGTACACAACAGCCTATTCTACTTTCACAGTGATGAGTTGAATGAGCTATAGCCACTGTGGAAAAATAAAAGAGGCTCTAAACTCTGCTCGGCTCTCACAAGTTTCAATGGCACTGCTGCAGTGTAGTTATTTCCCAAGAGCATCTGAGGAGGTATTCCCTTGTTGTTCTGGTTTTTGTGTCAGTGTTTAAACTTGTTACCATTCTGTTTAAAAGGGGAGAGAGGGGAAAATACAAAAAAGCAAAACAAAAAACCTTCACAGCTTCGAAACAAAGGACTGGTTCGCGTTCAATAGCAGTTGATCCTCAGCCTCCGAGGACGGCAAAACAACATTTGATGGCGAGCAGCGAGTGGGGAATCTCAAAGAGTCTCAATCTGAGGTTAAATATACATGCGTGGCATAAAGATGCAGACGTTCCTGATATGGAAAGGGAAAAATGACCTAGAAAAAGTGCCTTATTGAGAGGAAGGCATGGGGAAAAACACACAGTGGAGGGGCTGCAGAGAACCTGGCGTGAGGCGGAGAATACAAATGGGATGGCAAGCCAAGCCCTGCACTGTCTGACAGTAATGACTGCAGCCCCTCTCCAAGCTTTAATGAAAATGACTTCCAATTTTCTGCTCACTGTATTGATTGTATTTTCATCTTTATTAAATGAATTCGGGTGGCACCTCGTCTGCCCGCAGCATTTCGGTTTGGGGATGTTATGGGGCTTGCTGAATATAAAAACACCAGAATGGCTTTCATTACATGTGCTCAGACAATGGACAAACATTGATAATTCACTTTATGCTCATGTGCAATGACCACAGAAAATATGTGGACACTTTTGTGTAAAAATGTATGAATTTCACTGCATTAGATATCAAACCAAGTGGTATCTGTAAAAATAAAGAAATACATTTTTTTTTTTTATTTTGGGACAAAATAGGAAAAAAATTCACATTTTGGGGCCACTGTATATTTTTCAACAAGGGCGTATGGAAAATGAATGATTAATATTGCTGGAAAAATAACATGTCCATCAAAAATGTATTTCAGCTTTGTAACTCCACAAGAAATGGCTGCATGTTCAATTTAATTAACTAAATTTAACAAATGCAACATTTTTTTTTGGTGCAAATTTTTAACCAACTTTCAAATTCTATCACACACAATTGTTTTTTATTTGTTGTGTTGAGACAACAAGAATTATTTCCTATGTTCTTAACCTAATTCTGGACATGTCGGAAATTTATTTAAATGTTCTTTTTTTAAAAAACTAATACCACTCGTCCATGCAGTTTTATCTAATCAAGTTCTCTACTAAATGAAATGTTTTTATTAATTTCATGTTGTGTACCCGATAAAGTAATCAACAGTCCATTTTTGGTAAAAGGCCAACATATATAGTGATGCATGTGCACGATCAAATTCAGCTGAGATTTTGCCCAGCATCCTTCTCAATTTCATTGTGTAGGCAAACTAAATTAAAGCTCGTACATCAAGAATAAAATAGATTTTTTTGATTAAATGCCTCAAATGCAATTAAGCAATATAACAAAATATCTTGAAAGGCTGCTTGACCAATTAGATCAGGACCAGAATTGTTATAAATTAATTCCACTGAACGCCTTGTGATGGCGGTGAAACGTTTGGCTATGGGTTTTGGTAGAGGACTGTTCTCATAAAAAGCCCATGACCCTGACTCATCCGTACCAGAACAAACAGTTGAAAAGTTGCTAATATTGTCAGAAATGGAACACACGGGAGAGAGAGGTGTCTTACTGTGGTTTGCCTTTAGCCTGGCACGTCAGTTCCAGATTCTCGCCCTCTCTAATCAGGCCCTGCGGAAACTCCACCTTGATCGTCACCTCAGGTTTATCTGTGGAGGAGAAAAGTAAAGCACATCAGCGTCTTGTGCCCTCGGGCTGCATGAAACTTTAAACAGCCTTGGCTTTGTTCAACACTTATCGGATTGTTCTCAGTCATTTGGTTTGACTCTTCAGCATTACCATTGTTTGATACAAAATGTGCACATGCTTTTTTTCTATTAACCTTTAGAGTCATTTAAACATAATCGATACACCCTGATGTTTGCCGTGTATACAGTCAGAAGTCATGACATCACCGATGTCCATATTCAAGCGCTCTCAGCATTGACCTTTCTGCTCCGTAAGTACTGCCCTTTCTCATATCTATTAAAACGACTGGGCGCTCAATGGTTCTATTCTCCAGTGACTGGCAGCAGGTAGCCCGCTGGCTTTTTGCACCTTGCGTCAGCCTTGCCTCTCAGGCGTAGCTGCTACATTCAGCATGAAATGTGCACTTCTCCTTGGCAAGTCTCAGTTCTTTTCCAATTCAGCTGGGATTAGACTTCCTGCTGTGTTTGTACAGTGCAGCAGGAGGGGTGACATTCAAACTGACGTTGGACACATAACTAACGCTCTCTCACATCGAAGTATCCAGCGCCGTGTGTCTCGACACCATCGGAGGGTAGGATCTGACACACAGATTCAAGCGGGCCGGTCACTCGCTCCACATTTGTGTGAACTCCTTGCATAACCTTATTACACCTGTGTGCCAATTTCTGGTGTCTAATAGGATTTTTCGGTCTGTCTGGCGGTCTAATGACATGATGAAACTTAATGGCAAACAGCTTATGTAAGAAAATCATAGAGACATTTAGGACCCTTGGCATTTAATGGACTACATAAGGCTGTTGTGCTGCTGCTTTTGTAGAACATTCCTAATATCAGGCAAATACTAAATAGGCTCCTGTTTGCCAGGTAGTGTTTCTACATATAGGTACATGACAGGCAAAAACAGGAAACGGCTACCTTTTTGTTATACTGAGTGCTAATGAGTGCAGCGAGAATATAAACCATAAAAGACACAGAAAAAAAAAAACAGAACATGAAAAACACTAAAAGGCAAGAAAGTGTTACTGGCCTTTCATTAGGCATAATGGATACAAGAACAACAGTCAGGTGTGCCAAATAAAAAGAAAAAAACAATAAGTAAATAAACAAAGCAACAGAAAAAAAAAGTCTGCGCAGCCTTTGCCAATAGTAATTCTAATAGAATTTATATAGGGGTAACACTTTACAATAAGGTTCCATTTGTTAACTATTTAATGCATTAACTAACAATGAGCAATACTGTGACGAGTGGGGGCGGGGCCGAGAGCCGTGGGAACGGAGCGAGGCCGGTGGAGTAATTGATAATGAGCGACACCTGCACCACTCACCGGTCTCGAGTCTCACGGAGGAGCTCCGGAAGGATAAAAGGGAGGAGTGACGACCGTGTCGAGCGAGAGAGGACCAGGCCTGGAGTTTATTTTGTGTTTTGGTTTTGTTTGTGCTCCGCGAGGGGCTGCCGCTTTACTTTAATTTTGTGTTTGTTTATTTGATTAAAGTATTTGAACGTTCGCCGGTTCCCGCCTC